CCCCAAAACCCCAAAACCCCACTATAAAAAAATAAAGCAAAAAGTCTGAATTTGAAATTAAATTAAATTAATTCTTGAGTCAATTTTTAGTAAGTTATATTATCTTTCAATTTATCCAATGATTATTATTTGTACAAAGAATCTATCTTTATATATGATCAGGTTCAGTTAGTCAGGCAATCACCACATTTTTAATATGGATTGCATATCTTTCTCCCATCAAATTAATAGTTTTAATTTCTCCTTACATACCTTTGGTAAATATATTTGAACAATCTACCAATAAAAACTACACCCTTTGAAGTCAGGTATATGAATCCACCAAACAACGCGAGACATATCTCAAAGAATGTAAGCTCAAACCACCTATAAATGAAGACTGACTTTGAAACATTCATAAATATAAACCCCTAGAATAAAAGGGCAATTACTGTCATTAAAATCCAGATCAATAAGTTTAATTTGGTGGCATTGCGAGTAATCCTATCGCCTTAATATAAGTATTAACTTCTTTCTCTTCTATATCTAAGATAGTTATCATGTAACTATGCATAAGACATAAATGAAACAAAGAATACTACTTCACATACTAAGGCTCCAAGATTGTATACAATGAACCACTCAATACCCATTAAAATATCAGACCAGTATACCAGCTTGAAATTAATCATTAAAAAGGCAATCACAAGACTTCCAATCAATGCTGTCTATCTAAATGGGCAAAACAGGTTTTGAGAGTGGTTATAGCCGTAGTATCCATCAAGACACCACCAGCAGAATTCGTGAGAACATTTTCCGCACATCATATGATTGCAACCTCCATTTTTCTAAATCAATACTCCGCACCTGGGACAAGGTTCCTCAAAGATCAAATTTCTAAGTGCTGTGAAAAAATCAAAGTTCAAATGCATCAAATTCTTGATCTGGCTTAGAAATTTTTCTGTATAACTAATATGGATTTCATCCCTCCATTCTGTTTAGCATAATTCACAAACCAGATTTTCTCGACATTTCTTATAGTTTATTACTCCATAGTATTTACAGCCTTATTTAGGACACTGCTTCACATCTTGCTGATTGTTGAGATAGTGATTCAAAGCTACTTCATTAATTTGACTTAAATCCATTGGCTTGCTTTTTTAGCAGATAAAATCAACAATCTGTTCAAGAGTAAATATGCTTTTACATTTATTGCTCATACACTTAATACTTATTTCAGGCATATAGTTCTTTTGAACGCTGCTCACCACCCAACTTTCAAGACATTAGTCACAATAGTTCTAAGGAATACATTAACAAGGAAGAGTGTTAATCCTTGGCTAGTTATCAGGTTCAATCTCTGTACTATAACAAATATCACACAACTTAGAATCCATTTAAATATTAATGCTCTTTCGAAATATTTTTATCATTATTTATACTTATTTAAATGTAGTTTTTCCCTCATTTTCTGACATCACCCACTCACTACATTTTGGTCGTCTGGGGTTTTGGGGTTTTGGGGTTTTGGGG